CCCCCACGCACCTTGACGCGCCCCAGGGCCATGAAGCCGCCGACCAGCCCTGTCAGCAGCGCCTGCATCTGGCCTGCGGTTATGTCGCCGAGCTGCGGCAGGACGGGGCCCACCAGGGCCGCGTGGCGCTGCTGGTACGCGCGCAGGCCCTGGGCAGAAGGTGCAGGCACAGTGTGCGCTTGAGGGTCATGGTCGATGATGACAAGGCAGCAGGCGCAGATGGCTGCAAGAGGTGCAGGTTAAGGGAGTGCGGCCTGTCCTTAAGAAGCAGTGCGCCGCAGGGCAAGCCGGCGCAAGCAAGCACACGGCCTGCAATCGCCGTCCCGAAATCACCTGCAGCATGGCCATGGTGCACCGCTGGATGGCCTCGAATGTGCACGCAAACGCCTCTGCCAGGGGCGCCGCCGCATTGGCACCTTTGGGGGTTCAGAAATGGGGGGGGAGGGTGCGTGGGCAGACACCAGCAGCCGCGCGGCTTTGACGCTTCCAGAAGCACACGGACGCTGATCGCTCGATCCTGTCCCTTGACTGCGGATCAAGACACGCGTGCAGCCGCGAGCCAACCGCACACCAAGCCGGCCAGACGCCGCTGCAGGAGTAGCCGCCGCTGCCGCCGCTCCGTGCGCACCGGGCTTGTCCGGGCCATCCCCCAGCCGCGCCAGCAGCGCCTTCGCCGCCAGCCCCGCGCGCTCCTCCAGGGCGCCAAACGCCGCCGTCACGTGGCCGCGCACCGTCTGCTCCGTCGCCGCGGCCGCCCAGTCGCGCAGGCCGAGCTCGGTAAGCTGCTGGGCGAGCTGGGTGACGTCAGCGGTGACGGTGTCCATGGCCTGGGGGGTGGGTCGGCCGCGGTTTGGGGTCGGCAGGTGGCGGGGAGGGGAAGCAGAGTCGGCGGGGCGAGGACCGACAGGTGGCCTGCCTGTCGGCGTGCAGAGGTGCACCAGCTTTGCCTGCATGATCGCAGCCATTCAGCTCAGCAAAACACTTAGATTCACGCTCCGCAGGTGTGTCGGCTACACTGTCAAGGGAAAGATGGCTTCGCAGCCCAGCACGCGCAGCGCCGTGAGGCGCGCTGGCGCTGGCGCCTGCACCCCTGCAGCTTTGCGCCCCGCCCACCTCTGCCATGTGGCTGAATGTGCTGGGGTGCTCTCAGTCAAGTGAAATTCTTTACAAAGAGAGTGCGCTTATGGTGTGAACTTCCACGCCACGCTGCACCATGGAGTATACGTGTGTGCTCGCTCGTGTCCTATGGTAGACGGGCGTTCTTGACTATATACATCGACAGCGCGGGCAGTAGCAGAAGCCGTGTAGCAAGTTGATACCGGTCGCTAGTGCTACTAGCAGGCGCTCGATCGGGGCCGCTGGCGTGGTCGCGCCGTGCGTGCTGCTACCGCTGCAACCGATCGCAAGGGCAGCAGCGGCACGATGGCGGAGACTGATGATTATGTGAAGCGCACTTGCGCGCATCAAGAACCTTCTTTCCAGCTACTATGGCGACGCGTCCCAGCCTGGCACCCCCGGCGCCGCTGGCATCAGCCCTCGCGCGACGCATGCGGCCGGCTCGCCCAGCAGCGGCAGCGGCGGCGGCGGCGCCGTCGCGACGGCTCCGCCGCGCGCCCCGCAGGCGCGGGTCGGCGGCGGCCTGGCCATAAGCATGGATAATCGCTTTCAACGCAGATTACCACCTGCAGCAGATGCTGCACGGGCTCTGGCTGGACCGCCTGCTGACAGAGCACCGCGGCATGGCGCGCGAGATGAAAAACCTGGACTCCCGACATGCAGCAGCTGGTGTATGAGAACTACAACAAGTTCATAGCCGCCACGGGTGAGCAACAGTGTGCGTGACCTCTTTTGCGTGCATGTGTGTGCGTGCGTGCATGCGTGCACGCGCACGCGCGCGCGCGCGCGTGTGTGTGTGTGTGTGTGTGTGTGTGTGTGTGTGTGTGTGTGTGTGTGTGTGTGTGTGTGTGTGTGCGCGCGCACGCACACGCGCGCACTTGCATGCGTGCACGTGGGCGCTTCATTTCTTACTTTCCAAACTCAAACTGGTTGACATCTAGTGCAGCTGCCTCCTGCAAAAGCTAGGAATAGCAGTGGGTCTCACTTTGTACCCGGAGAGCAGTACGGCCCCGCCACACACGTTGCTGATGCTCCTGCACCGCACCTTTGCCCCAGGACCGCGGCCAGACACGATCAAGGTGATGAAGTCCAATGTTGACGGCATGGAGGGGGACATGGACCAATTCAAGGGCATCATGGGTGCGCGAAAGGCAGAAGGTTGAGGGGCCAGGGTGCGAGTGAAAGGCAGGGAGGCCGGCCAACAGGGTGTTCGCGACCAGCGGTTGCAGACGGGCGGCGCGAGGCAGCGGGTCGCAGCTTGGGGGAATCGAGGTCAAGCCTGGCCGCATTAAAGGGCCTTTTACACTCCCTGAGGCACGCCGTCGGCTGCGCCTCTTGCCCCGCCGCCTGGCGTGTACTCCTACAGATGACGTGGCGGACAAGAGCGCGTCTGTCAACGCCAAGCTGCAGCGGCGGCGGCAGCACTGCGAGGAGCTGCGGCGCGTTGGAGGCCTGCTGACCAAGCTGCAGGCGAGCAGGGCCCCGCAGCGCACTGCTGTCTCATGTTTCTTCAGCCCTTGAACCTCTTCGCACCTGGGGGGCAGCCTGAGTGATTGCCGCTGACGGTGCGCATTTCCTTGGCCACCTCACTCCTCCTCCCCAACCATTCCTGCGCGGCTCAAATTTGTGGCCGCCACGACCAAATAAAATACCCTTCCGCCGTGGCGTGCGCAACAGGCCGTGTTTGACCTGCCGCGCCGCATGGGGGCCGTGCTGGAGGAGGACGCCTTGGACAGCGCCGTCGAGTTTCACGCGGACGCGCAGCCGCTGCTGACAAAGTACGGCCACCGCGGCGCGTTCAGGGGCGTGGTCGCGGAGGCTGAGGCCGCGGCGCGCGACGTCGGGGCGGTGCTGAAGCGGCGGCTGGCGGAGCGGCGGGGGGACA